GTAATAGAAGACTGGTTAAATGTGGCTGGTTAGTAATAGAAGACTGGCTGTCATGGAGTTTTCCAGGTTATATGTGACGCAGGCACACTGTGTGTTTGTAGCTTGTAGTTTGGAGCAGCTGTGTTAAAGTACATGTTGTCTGCATGGAGGTCTGGTCAGAATTATGGATCAGAACCTGCAGGTTCTGATCCATAATTCTGTGGTTTAACTGCAGCTGGGTGTGGTTGATAAGCTGTGTGTCATAAACCGGTTCGAGCTGTCCTCCCTGGAAGGACAGAGGACAGGAATGTCCCTCCACCCCTCCCATAGATTAATCTGCACTTACAGCCCATCTGGAGGTATCGATCCCACGCCTAGCGCACAGTGCCAGTATCGATCCAGTGATTTTCGTCTGTCAGGTTTTATCACGTTTATGATAAAACATAACTCTGAATCTATTTTCAACACTTTAAAATAACTCATGGAGAAAACTAACTGTGCCACATCTGACCTACACCGCCTATAAAAACGATTCACCCCCTGGATGTCTTATTCTTGCACTTATAAATCTGTCAAGGTCAACATTTATTTTTTTTTTTTTTTTACAAAATAATTTCAGAGAATCTCAGAGAAAAGTACAAGATGCATACAAAAATATTCAAGGTCCTAAACATCCCCAGGAGTTCTGTTAGATCCACCATCAAGAAATGGAAGGCGTATGGAACACGTGTCAATCTACCAAGACCAGAGCGTTCTCAGTGGAGGAGACCACCCTGGAGGAGCTACATGCTCCAGCAGGACACATGGGAGACCTTCCATTACATCACCTCTCTGTCCTTCAAAGCTTGGACTGGTGGAGAACTTGGGCAGCGGTTGTTGTTAGAGGCTGAATGAGCTTCTGTACACACTCAACCTGTCACTGAAGAAAACAAGCGTTTTATGGGAGGTGTCATTTTTCAGCTGTCACAGTGACGTCTGGTCAGAAAGGTCCATGAAGTTCATATCATTTCTGCAGATGCTTCTGAGATGTTGTTTCTGTCACCAATTCTCAGAGCCTGAGGACCTCCTGCAGACGGGTGGAATGCTACAAATGCAGCTCCACCCTTAATGCACTTCTTCCAGTTGGTTTCAGTGTGTGGGTGTGTTCCAGGAGAAAAACAAAACTTGTGAGGTCTGATGTGATCCTGGGCAGAGCATTTCCACAGAGGACATGATGACACATTTATGTAGGTTGTGGAGGGAATTGGAGACCTTTGGGAGAGGGTAACGATGTAAAGCAGCCTAAAAGATCTAGACGTCTGTAGAGCAGCAACACAGGGATAACACAGAGGAAGGAAAAACAAGTCAGAGTACACTTTGGAGCAGCGCTCGGCTCAACCCAGTGACAGCAGAACCTTACCCTCCCTTCATGACCTCATGCTGCAGATTTCTGCTCCCAGTTAAACTCCGCTCCCCTGTGTGGAAACAAAGTGGTTCTCAAACTGGCCTTTCAGGACCACCTCTGTCAGAACATGGCATCAGGATCAGATAACAGCCATTGAGTGTCTTATAACTAGAGATGGGACTGAAAGCAGGAAGTTGAAGCCACAAAGTATGAGGACGCCCTAGTGGCTGACTGAAGAACTTCAGTTTCGTCCCTCCATGTTGACCAAAAACTTCTTGTTTAACTAAAATAACAAAAACAAGAAAAAACTTTAGGTATTGATTTTTGTTAGTTCACATCCTTCCTACCTGCTGCTGTATGTTCAAATAAGCAACTTTTTAGGATGTTTAGTTTTAATTTGTTATTGGAGGCTTAAAGAAAAGTGTCCGTTTCCACTGCTGGTCTCAGGACTCTTTACAGCAGCATTCACATACATAGAAAAGCCAATTAGTAAAGTTCACTATCTAAGGAATCCAGCAGACTCGTTGAATCTTCACTTCGTTGCAGTCTCCCATCCTGAGCAAGCACAGTGGCAACAGTGGAAAGGAAAAACTCCCTTTTTAAAAGGAAGAAATCTGCTTTGACTGGCTGGTTGAGAGGACAGGAAGGAGAGACAGACGAACACAGAATGGTAGGTCCAGGTATAGGTCCAGGTGTATCTGAAAGACAAAAAAACACATGTTAAAGATAGAAAAAATAATTACAAACACAAAACCAGTTGAGCAGAGTAAGTAAAGACAGTAGTAGAGTGAAAATTGTGGTCAGTTTGTCCTCCAGCAGTCTAAGCCTATAGCAGCATAACTAAGGGACAGCTCAGGAAACCCAAGCCGACCCTAACTATAGGATTTATCAAAAAGGAAAGTCTTAAGTCTAGTTTTAAAACTGGATAATGTGTCAGCCTCACAGACAGAGATTGGAAGTTGGTTCCACAAGAGAGGAGCCTGATAACTGAAGGATCTGTCTCCCATTCTGTTTTTGTAAACTCTAGGAACCACAAGTAAACCTGCAGTCTGAGAGCGAAGCGTTCTGTAGTGAACTAAGCCTCCGGTCAAAACCTGCCTCTGAGGACCTTCATGGGACAGGAACTGTTATTTCATTGATTTGAATCCAGAAATACAAATTAGCTCATCCAGAGACTTTCTAATTGTATCCTGAACTAATCAATTGAAAGAACACTCTCTTTTTCATATTATCATTACTATTTTTACAAATGTCTTGATAATCAAAAGTGTGTTTAGTTCAAACCATTTTAAATGTTGAAGTGAACTACTCATTTTAAATCAACTGTGAAACAGTATTAATGATTTTTTTAATCCTCATTCAAAGTAGAAATCAAGTTAATGTCTGTTACAAAGTAATTATGCATTTTTTGATCTTCCGTCTGAAATGAGAAGTAGTGATGTCGGTCGAAAGTCAGAAAGAAGTTATTGGAACGAACTGTCATGTTTTTAAACCTCTCAGACAGAAACAAGATGAACTGGCACCTGTAGTCTGTCATTTCTCCAAAACATTTCTCTGTCTGTTCCTAAACATTTCTCTGTCTGTTCTTAAACATCTCCGCTGTTTTTCTGACTTGTAGTAACCTCTTACGTCACTAAAACCACACCCCTGTTGGTTCTTTCAACCAATCAGGACTTCCCAAAAGGGACCGGAAGCAGAACTCTTTAAAAGTCGACACTTCCTAGTTCCAGTTAGTTCTGGGGAGATGAACCGAAGTTCTGGGGGAAGAACAGAAGTTCCGAGAGAGAACAGAAGTTCTGAGTTCCTCTGAGTCTTCTCAGAGTCCCGTTAGTTCTTCTGGTTCTGATGGAGTTCGGCTGGAGTTCCTGTCGGAGCCACGATGCCTCGCTGTGGCTCCACCCGGTGAATGCCCTATAACTTCTGAGGAAGTTTGTTCTGTGGAATGAGTTCTCACGACTTCTGCCGAGTCGCAGCCGCCCTGAGGAGACGCTGAAAGGTAGCGTACCAGGGACACTCTTGACCGCAGCTGATTCATCCTCTGCCAAGGTAAAAGAGTCGTCATGAGCTTCACTACCAGTGTACCGCGGGCGAACTGCGCTTGAAAGGAGCGTGTTGTTCTGGTCTACAGACATACATCCTCATCCACATCTTTTTCCTCCATTTAAACTCCTTCATTTCCCATCTTTAAAACTCTTCTATCTTGCCAGTAATTAATGCAGATATCTTCAGATATGTCTGTTGTTTTTAGCTGCAAGTGAGAAATCATGGCCGTATGATTTCTCATTGTAAAGCTCATTAATTAAGCTGTGTTATTGTAATCAATCTGAATAATCAAGTGTACAATGTTTTGATGTTAAATTTTGATTCTGTTAATAAATGACCACATTCATTTTGATGGGTCAAAGAAAATTAACGTCTCTTGTCACTGATTAGACCATCTCCCACACAGTACTTCTAAGCACAATATCACTTAGTCCAGAAAAATGAAAGAATCCGTTTAAATTAAGTATAATATCATGTACTTGAACTAGTCCAGATATTATAATATGTAAGAGAGTACCCCTGAGCTAAACCCATCTCTCGGCTGTCTCATTACAGTTCTGTTAGGAAAATATGGAACAATAAGATCTGTAATATAAGATGGAGCTAGGTTGTTGAGAGCTTTGTAGGTTATAAGTAAGATTTTGAATTATATTCTGAATATGAAAGGGAGCCAATGGAGAGAAGCTAAAACTGGAGAAATATGATCTCTCCCACTAACTCCAGTTAAGACTCTGGCAGCAGCATTTTGGATTAACTGAAGATTTTTTTGAAGAAGTTTTTGGACACCCAATGATAAACCATTGCAATAGTCCAGTCTAGCCGTGACAAATGCATGAACCAGTTTTTCTGCATCATTTTTAGATGAGATGTTTTTAATTTTAGCGATATTACGCAGGTGGAAGAAGGCAGTTCTAGTAACGGAACAGGAGGACATGATTAATGCCATCCAAGGGGGGAGAAAGACAAAAATCATTCCTAAGGTGCTCAGGTCCAAAAACCAAAATCTCAGTCTTGTCTGTGTTCAAAAGGAGAAATTTAAGGGTCATCCAGGTTTTTATGTCTTACGTGCTTGTAGTCTAAGTAGCTGATTAGATTCATTGGGTTTAATGGACAAATATAATTGTGTGTCATCAGCATAACAATGAAAATTTATCCCATGCT